TAATTGATTTAGATAGCTTACATAGAGCCCAGTAATATTAAGTAAATATGGCCACCAAAACATAGCAATGATGATACATGTATTCCTTATAAACTAGCCACCCTTTCAATCAACATAATACAATGTTGAGGCGTGATTCTATCTAGTTCCAGTAAATGCCGCATATGCGGGTTGTAGGTTTGTTTAGTTTTTATTAATTAGTTCTAAATAAAGGAGACATTTTTAGCAATATTAAAAGTTTCTACTTATAAAAACATAACAACAACTTATTTGTAAACAGATGTAAGATAAACATGAAGAATCATATGCTATTTTAAAAGCATAGAATATTAAATATCTAAACATCTTCCCCTTTTGTCATGAAGAAGACTCAAACTCCAATCTACGAGATGAAGAAGACTCAAAACTCAAATCTACGACATGAAGAAGGCTCAAACTCAAATCTACAAATAAAATGAAAGAAGTTCTGAAGTTGAGGTCAAATCTGAGCCTATCTTCCAAGAAGAAGAAATACTGAATCAAGACCATGTTGCTCTAAGGAGAAGCTCCAGGAGTAAACACGCGCCTTTGTATTTAAAAGACTATGTCAGCTAGGAGGGGAAGAATGTCATATAATTCCTTTCTATTCTATCTGTACATTGAAACATCTGTTCAAATGTTAAGAAATTGTTTTTGTTTACTTTGATGTTTTGGTTCATATTGTACACTTTTATATCATGCTAGATTCTTTGTTCAATAAGTATTTTATGGTTGGAACTTGAATTAAATTTTTATCAAATTTGAATCAACAATTTGCATCCTTCATCAATGTCAACAAGAGAAAAAGAAATGGTTATTGTTACGTATTTGAAACCTTGTCCTTGATTATTTACTTTGAAAAAGGGATTCTTTGTATTTTACGGTTTAATGATGGTTCTTTTTAGCAAATTTCCCATATAGGGAATAAGCTATTACCGTTGTACTACAGCCTCCTCGTGGTAGTACTCATGGTAAGACCTCAACCCGGGATCAATTTAATTTTTCGTTTTTAAGTTCCTACAGGCCAAAAACACCATCCGTTCAAATTCATATATGTAGGCTATATATTTATATATATACTAGCTGACCCGGCGAACTTCGTATCGCCTAAGTTATAGGTTTCCCCTAAGACAGACCGATGGAAAGAAAGTACCGTTACGTTTAATTTTCAAGATGATCTCGTTCGCATCGCTCAATCACGTCCTGGTTGAAGTTCGTTCGCTACGCTCACTCACCTTTGGGTTGGAGCTCGTTCGCTACGCTCACTCACCTTTAGGTTGGAGCTCGTTCGCTGCGCTCACTTGCCTTCAGGTTAGCTCGTTCGCTACGCTCACTCGCCTCTAGGTTGAAGTTCGTTCGCTACGCTCACTCACCTTTTGGTTGCAAATTAGCTGTTGTCATAAATGTAAAAGAAATAATAGTGTTGCACCCTGTTGGTAATCCTTGTAACTTTAATGCTATTGAACATCATAGAACAGAACCAACTTGTTTAATTGAAACAGCTGTTAAGATTCATTAATTCCATTTCTCATAAGGTTAACATGGGAAACTCCAGAGCCACTGGGGAGGAGCCCTTTTAAGAATTTTGAAACGGGAAATAGTTTACGTCCGATTCCCATACCTACAGAATTTACACACCAAATTTCATAACGATCGGTGAAGTCGTTCCGGAAGAGTTTGCAGACAAACACTGTGACACGAGAATTTTATACATTAGATATGTGTCGGTTAGCGCGATAACTCGAGCAAAAATGATCCGATTTTGATTAAATTTGGTACAAATGTGTAAACCTACGTTTATTCGAACGAGTTCGCGAACCAGCATAATCGGACCATGGGAATGGAGGTTGATGGGGAGTTTTATGGGGTAAAAATGGGTTTTTCCCATTTTTCACCCTAAAAACAAAAATTTTTGCAATTTCTTTTAAAACTGTTTTGAAGAGCTTAAACAAATGAATAATTTAGTATATTGAAGCGCTCTTGTATGCCTAACGGTCACGGAGAAAATTCAAAAATAGTGTTAATTTAAATTTCCCATGTTATTCTTGTGGAGAAAATGACAACGGTTATAGTTTACTTGTTTATGGATATATATTGATAAAATTTGGCAAATTTATTTATTTCATCCTATACTATTTGACGTATGTTCAAAAAACACTTTTTACCTTTCCCGTAGCAGCAAACCTAAGCACTCATTAAATATAATGTTATTTAAATTGGGAATAAATATGTCTTATTTATGGAAATATTTTAGTAAAAATGTATGAGACAAGTTGAAATTCGCTTAGTCTGCAGGTTTGCTGCGGCGGGGGTATTTATTTAATTTCCCATTTACATGAAATTAGCTGTTACCATAGGTCTCGTGGTAATACTTAGAAACAGGATGCCTTTTAGCGAATTTCCCATAGGGAATAAGCAATTTTTAAATTTTGACCATTTTAAATTTGCAAATACAGAATACAGTTAGTATTACCTTTAAAACAAAATAAAATGCTGGAACAACTCTAATAATCATTTAGTGTTTGACAATAAATCCTGGCATTCATACTAATGAATACAAAGTATTCATACCAATGAATACAAAGTATTCATACCAATGAATACAAAGTATTCATACCAATGAATACAAAGTATTCATACCAATGAATACAAAGTATTCATACCAATGAATACAATATGAATGAGTATTCATTGTTCATACTTCATGAGGTAAATAAACAGTAAAAGAAATCCACCAGAAAATACTAAACTTATTATAGTACTGGTTGTCCTCTGCATTACTGACTGAGCCAATGACTCACCAAACTGCAGTATTGTAACGTAACCCATTCACTCCCTGTACCCCTTTCACCTTCCCTTACCTACTTACTAATTCCTTTTGCCTTCCTGACGTTAACCCTCAGCGTCGTTCAGTATCCCTCCAGAAAGTTTCCCCAAACGAATCCAGAAGTCCCCTTCAGGAATCCTTCCCCTCATACCTTTTTACCACCAACGTCGCCTCCAAACCCTCAGCATCGTCCGGTATCACTCCTGAAAGTTTCCTCGAACAAATTCAGAAGTCCCCTTCAGGGATCCTTTATCTTACCCTCCCCTGATACCTTGCTACAACCGGCGTCGCCTCCAAACCCCCAGCATCGTCCGGTATCCCTCCCAAAAGTTTCCCCGTACGAATTCAGAAGTCCCCTTAAGGGATCCTTTACCTAACCTTCCCTTGATACCTTTTCACCCCCGACATTGTCTCTAACACACCTATGTCTCCAAGAAAAGGTCCCAATATCCAAAAACACGTCCCCCGTCCTTGACAAGTCCTACCGTATTTACCTATACCAATCCCAGCCCCGGTGTCGCAGTTCAAGCCGCTGCCTTGCACCCTTTTCATCCTTTAACTTTCCCGACACCAGAACCCATCACCCCTAACGTCATATACCTACCACGGCATCGCCAATCCCAGGGTGGCGTCGCGCATAAAACTCCCCCGAACCTTCATGACGCCCTCCTGTACTAACCTGAATCTTTCCACAACCTAAACACCCCTCCAAAAACCCAACGCCCCAAAAAGCTCTCCAAACCACCTGCCACTGAGCCCAGCATCGCCTACGAGGACGGGTCTAAGAAGAGGCGAAAACGTCACCTAACTTCAAAACCGGTAAGTTTTGCTCATCCTGCTAGAGAAATCTCAGCAGTTTTCACTTAAGTCCTGCTAGAGTAATCCAAGCACGACCCCGTCCTGCTAGAGTAATCCATAGCATTAGATATCATACCGATAACCTGCTAGTGAAAACCCAGCATTCCCGGTGGCTATGATGAGTGTCGCCCTATTGCAGACGACTTGAAACATTGCCCAGTATCTGAGCCAGCCTTCGAACCTTTCTTCCCCTCCCCCCCCCCCCCCCCCACCCTGGAACGAACCTAGCAACGACTGAACGGATACTGGCATCAAGGTCTTAAAACGATACGACCTACCTCGGAGTTCATCACAGTATAAAATATAAAATGGAGTACTGAGTACTAAGCACAAAGCACCAGAGATCTCTTACATTTCAATCTTATTTCCTTTTGTTGTGTCTGTGAATTGTTATGTTATAGTTCGAAGTTTATTTTTGGTAATGGTGAGGTTTAGTTAAAAAACAGATCGCGGCAAAGTCATGTTAAAAACATCTGGTATCATTGGTGAACATTTCCCTTGGTGGTAAGCGTTGACATCATTATGGTCCCCTGTGCAAACTGGTGTTTTAAAATAAATTATTTTTTTATCTAAAAAATGTTTTTCTTAATCCTCTGCGGCCCCCTATTGCTAATCGACCTAGTGGTAAATCCGGCACTGTAACATTGAGTTGATCAGACATGCGACAAAGTTTCATTCCCAATTCATCAATACGGTAATGAATGAACACATCACATCATATATGAGAAAACTTCAGTCCTCCGTTCATCAATACTGAAATAAATATAAAATTGAATGCTATTTCAATTTTTACATCCTATTTTTGTAGTCTTTGGCATCCAACGTGATTGGGTACCTCTGGGCGGTGAAGCACATCTAGTAATGTATCTGTAGTGGCTGCAATAGTGGACAGTGACAGAGCTCAGATTCAAGTCCAGTCCACAAATAGTTCAGCTAGGTACGTGGTTATGCAAGCACTTACTCTGTAATTTGGGCAGTTCTTAAGCTAAGGGTCTAAAGAGCAAAAATAGGATGGGGTCTCTCATAGAATACACAAAAAGTAAGAGAGGATTTCGATCTCTTCAGGGGCTGCACATTAGTATCTCATTCCTCCACTTTCTTTACATTTTCCCCGTAAAAAATATATAGCAAAATCATTAAATAGGAGCATAAATATTTTAACCTTTGCTGTTATGTTAAAATAAAAAATGAATCAAATAAAAAATCTACTAACACTAAATAAGCCTATTGTTATACATGGAAGAAAAAAAAATAGAGTGATCAAACTACTGTAAAAGAATTGGAAATAAACACTCACCAGGGTACTTTAATTTGTGATCTTGACCTGCCTGCTTTGATCTTTGGTAATAAGTTTCTTTGGCACTTTTAGTCATATTCTTCCACATCTGACCCAGTCTACAATAGATATTATTTTTTTAGAAAAATGCAAAGGATATTAGTTTTGCACACGGCAAATAAACTTCTCATCTTAGAGAAAAGTGTCTGAAGCCTGCTTTGATGTTCGTTTCATGCACAATAACCCAAATGTTTCATCTGCACTTGGGTTAAATTTTACAAATGTGCACTGCGTTATTTAGCTATAATACCAAGGGGCTAGCTTAAGGATGTAAAAAGGTCTTCTATTTGATCAAAATGATATTTTCAAATTATAAAACTGAAAGAAATTGAAGATATTAAGGTAAATGCACCAGTAGCTGACAGTGCTCCAGAAGCTGACAGTTTTGAGTTTCTTTACATTATAATGTGGTCTCTTAAAAATATTTACACATGATTGCATTGTTAGAAGAACATATGTTTATTCTTGATTTGTTTACAAAAAAAAAATTAGTGAAATTTAGCCCATACTCGCTGAATGGTGGTGGTTTGAAAGCGACCCTGTCTGTACACAACACATTTAGTCGATTCCCTTAATGAAATTGTTAAGAAGGTAAGTTTGGTTTTTAGTCATTTCGCTAAATTTCTTAAATAGTATTAATGATTAGGCTCATTATTTTTATCAATTATACCTTTGTTGACAATTTCATGATAAAATTGGGGTGTTAGGGGATTTAGATTAAAAATTATGTCAATGTCAGGCTTTGGTACACAAAAGCCATACAAGTTCCAATAGCTGACAGGGGATATTTGCTACTTGCACAATATTAAATTGGTTTAACCCATCGAAATTTGCATGCTATTTATAATTTATGTGAACTCACATTTTTATAAAATGATTTCAATTTTTTAATTAATAATCCAAATTATCTAAAAAAATGTATATATGTTTTTAATATAAATAAAAAATATATATATTTTTTAAATGTAAATATTTTTTATTTTAAAATATGTAAAATAAATTTTCTTAATAACGTTTTACATGATTTTATAATTTAATTATTAAGTTAGATTTTATTCGTCTTATAAATTATAAAACCCATAGGTTTAGCAGCTAGTACATGTATAGTTCCAGTGTCAGCTACTGGGACAACTGACTGTCAGCTACTGGTACAAGCACTTTTTTCACTGTCAGCCACTGGAACACGTACAAAGGTTGAATTAAGTTTAAAAATGTTATAAAATATATATAAAAAACCCTTTTTGTATGACATATTTGAAAACTACACTAAATTTAGAATCACATAAAATCCGTAATATCTCTTTAGTTCCTATTTATTCAAAACCACGGATTATTAAGTGCGTATAGTTTCTTATACTGTCAGCTACTGGTGCGTTTACCTTACCATACATTCAAGCGTTAATGTACTTAACTTAAGCTTAAACGTACCTTCAGTGTCTCACAGCTGATCAAGTGTTTGGATTTAGTTTATAAGGTATTGAAGCCTTGTTGTAAGAAATTGTTACAAAGAAATTTCAAAACAGATTAAATTTAAAATTCCTATTTTAATTACATTGAGGATATAACTGTCTTTATAAATTTTGATCAAATTTTGCCAAATGTATATACACGGTATTTGAATCCTTGTTGTAAGAAGTTATGAAGAAAAATTTGAAAAAGATTAAATTCCTGTTTTAGTTACATTGATGATAAATTAACTATCTGGATATATTTTGATTAAAATTTTCCAATTGTGTTTATTTTATACTACTGTATAAACTTTAACCATTCAATCAATTACCTTATTCCCCTCTATAGTAGTAAAATATTGTAAAAGTATTACAGCTACTGTACATTTGTTCTGCCTTACACCAACAGCTCAAATAAACCATATCATGATGACCAATTTTACATCTGCAGGTTAAAAGTATACCTGCTATCCTACCTTTTAAAATAAAGCTTTGAACATTAAAAAATTTGGTATTAATGCAAAACTTTGGTTTTACTTTTTCATCTTTAAAGTATATTAATCACTGCAATTAAAACTTTCTTTTCATTTTCAATGAGTAGGCCTAAGTGACTGATTTCTGTGGCCAATCTAAGAACTTCATTGTGAAGTGATAGTAACGTTGACTTCAACTTCAAATACTTTGTTTTCTATTTATTATAAAGGTATATTTTACAGCCGTGGTTAACCAAGCTTAGTTTATATCCATAATTACAATCTTGACCAATCATGTTCCTGAGAAACATAAATGTATGTAACATTTCACTAACTATTTTTAGTACTGTAGACTATTGTTATGAAACAGAAATTGGTCAGTTTGAGATGCTAGAGTGAATAATTGTAAGTTATTAATTATCGTTAAATCATTATTAAATATTGTGTTATTTTAAATATAAATTATCAATTTCGATAACTGCTTCAATCAATTCATGCTTGCAGTGAATATAATCAGAATTTTTTATTTAGCCTACATAATTTGTACTACAGATGGTGTTCCACAGGGCTCGGTTTTGGGACCATTCTTGTTTTTAATCTCGATAAATGACCTGCCGAGGAATGTTGATGTAGACACTGTTGTATGCTGATGACACAACTTTGATTGCAACAAATAGAGATCTCCATGAGCTTGATTTAACTATACTAATGAATCAATAACATCAGCACTAAATTGGTTTTCTTCAAATAAATTGACGTGTATAATCAAGAAAAAAACACAGAAAATTCTTTTGAGTCCATCCCCACTTGACAATGAATTAAAATCTGTAAAATTATTAGGATTCCAAATTGATTCAAAATTAAATTGGCAAGAGCACATAGAAATCACTTGTAAAAAAATGTCCAGAGTAAGTTATCTAATTTGGAAACTCAGAGATTTTGTTAGTAATGAATACCTTTGGATTACTTATTTTGGTTTTTTTCAATCTCATATTTCTTACGGGATTATACTATGGGGACACTCCCCCCACACCCATGAAATTCTTTTATTACAAAAAAAGTCATACGAACAATCTGTGGGGCTGGCCCTGTGGATAGCTGTCAACTTCTTTTTATAAACCTTAAAATTATGACCGTATAGTAAATTTGTATATTTTTCAAATACTCCTCTACACTAAAGCCAATCTTCATCAATTCACTTGTAGAGAGAGTATACACTCTTACAAGAGGCAAATCCAATCTAGATATCCCTGCCCATAGATTGGCCAAAACAGATAACTGCCATAAAATAAATTGCATACGGTTTTTTAATAAATTAGGTCTGGCAGCAAAACAGGTTCCTTTCAATAGGTTTAAGTCTAAAATGTTTGAATGGCTCATCCAAAATCCATATTACTGTATAACAGAGTAGCCTACTCAGTTTCTGATGTTAATATTAATTTTTAATTTAGAACCCACTGTATTTTATAGCTTTAGTTTTTATTTCTATTGTTGACTATGTCTATTCCTTGTAAAAGGTCAATGACAATAAAGATCTTGATTCTTGATACAACTACCTACAGTTGTTTGTATCTCTACCTCAGTGTCAGTGAAACTGTACTGTATCATAATGTGAACATATAAAATCTATAAGATTCAAAAGTCTGCCTAACCTAACCTAACCTAACAAACACCTATTGTACAATCTGGAACAATTATCTTTTTCTGAAGCAATTAATTTAATTCAATGGTTTGACGACAACTTACTAAAAATTAACACTGAAAAACTCAGCTTATAAATTTCCATTTAAATAAGAGACGAGATGTTAGGTTTAGTCTCCTCCTGGACGAGCTGAGGTCCACCCAACTGCAAATGTAAATATTTTAGGGTTGATCTTGGACGAGAGACATAGTTTTTTCAGCCATGCCAAACTCATTACAAGTAAACTCAGTTCTGGAATTTTTGTTTTACGCAATATCAGAAACAATGAAAATCTCAATGTGCTGCTGACGGCTTATGGTCTCATTTATCCCCATCTGGCATATGCTGTTGCAATTTGGGGATTTGAGAGCAAAGAAACCAAATTTATTTTCAAAATCCAAAAGATGGCTGTGAGAACTATTTTCTCTTTGCGTAAGCGTCAATCCTGCAGAGAGTACTTTTTCAATTCAAAAATCTTGACTTTTCCCTCCATCTACATTCTAGAAACTTTGACCTTTTTGAAACAAAACTTTCCTGAATTTGACTTTTCTACTAAAAATCAATACGCATTGCGCAACTCATTTAACTTGCCAATTCCTAAACACAAAACTTTCAAAACACACATTGTACATTGGCATAAAGCTTTTCAACTCACTTCCATTATCCCTTAAGTTGGAACCAAGCCTTTCAAAATTCAAAAAACAATTAAAACATAAATTGCTAAGTATAACCTGTTATAGCGACCAAGAATTCCTGAAATGTTTTGAAAGCTCTAATTTGTAATTATTATTGTAAATTATAGAATTAGTAATTGATGTATAGTATAGTATATTTGTATTGACCTGACTAATGCAAACTGTATAATTGTTAATTTGGCCCAATGAAATGATTTGATAGACATGGTTTAGCCCCTGAGATAATAATAGTGGTTTAGATGACTATAATATAATACAGGGTGTCCCACGAGAGGTGTCTCAAACTGATTACGGGATAACGGCTTAACGTACAAGGATGAAATAAAATTATTTCCCACTAAATCGACCCCAAGGAATAAAGTAAAAATATTTTTAACTTTTTTCAAATACAGGGTGTGCCAAAAACTGAGGGTCACTAGTTCGAATCTCGGAATTTTCATATGTAAACATATGTCATGTTATACATCATTTTAAAGGTATTTGATAGACAAAAATTTTGGCGAAAACCAAAATTAGTTATCTTTTTCCGTTTCAAAATGGCGGCAGTGTTTTTGAAAAGAAATCTATATTTTTTTAATACTCTGTATTTCCTATACCTATCCATTTAGCACTTCTCCGGTTGCATTTTCTTACTCGTTATGAAATTAGCTTTACTGTGATATGCAACAAGTAACGGTTTTTTGAAATAATAAAAATTCCAAAAAAAATTATTTTTGAAAATTTGCAAATGCTCATTGTTCAAAATTTTCAAATAGCAACATA